CACAGACTTAAATCTACCGACTAGTTACATTCAACCTAACAATACTCATCAATGTCACTACGTATCACTCACAACCTAAGTCATTTCTAACCCAAATTTAGAGACTGACTGTATCACCAAGGAAATAAGCTTTCTACCTCCTCGACAACACAGAAGTCAATTGTATTTGCTTGCATCAACAATCTCTCAGAGCGATACAAATAACACAGAGGCATTAAGCTCTGATACCCAAGTAGATGTCATCTCTAAATCTATCTCTAGAGTTCAGAAACTAACAGATAATCATCCTAGATAAGAATCTAAGCAGTATATGTCTATAGTAACTCAAATCCCTAGCACAGAGCAAAAATCCAGGATAACAATCGACAAAGATTTGTAAAGCAAGTTTTATATAATGCCAAGGGCGAAAAATATACATGAGTTAAAAGAAAATATACATACAAACCCAACCAATAGAGAATACACAAATAAAAAGAGAAATGAACTGCAAATATATCGGTTTGTCAGTGCCGATCAAAGAGCAATCCACTCTGAATCATCCGTATGCAAGCTCCATAGTTGTTATCTAAGCTAATCCTAACAAAATTACAGGTTGATGGAGTTGGGAGCAAAAACTTCCCAAAAACCATACCCAAAAAATGAATGAAATGAAAGTTATAAAACAAATCACAGCAGGTCGCGCTAAGCGGACCTGGCGCACTAAGCACGACTTCCTTATTTAACACATCAAACTGACCTAAATCGCGTTAAGCGCGTTACGCGGGATTCAAAACTTTGGTTCTGCCAAAATAATAAAACGCAAGCAGCGCGCTACAAAATACGCTGAGCCACTCGCACTTAGCAGCCTCAGCGTGCTAAGCGGGCTCCCCTGGACAGAATGTCTCAAAACTAGTCTTTTATTCCGAAAACCCGCATCTGGAGCTGTGCCTTCGACACTTTATTCCTCGATGCTCCAAAATGCAACAAATACCTAAAAAATGAATGGAAAAACATCAAACGGTACACTATGTACAAAAAAACACACATAAACACAAACTAAACGTATTTATACAAAAGTTGGGTTTATATAACGATATTAACAACAAAAATTCGATAAGTGCAACAAAAAGTATATACAAAAATAGTTATAATTTGCACTTATCACATACCTCACATGGTGAAGAAGAAACTCACGATCATCAAACATTTTAAGTCTAGCTCTAGCAAAATCGTGAATCTTGCAAGCCTTATTATCACCAACGATAACTACTTCACCTTGATCGAGCTTTAAAGTCTCAAAGAATTCTTTTCTTGGACACATGTGATAAGAGAAAACTGAGTCCATAATCCAACTCTCTTCATTATCCAAACTCAACACCATTAATGCATAAACACTTTCATAACTATCCTCATTGGAGGCAACTACAATCTAAACAAACTCATCACTGACCCTCTTCTTGGGGCAATCCCTCATGAAGTCGCCAGTTTTCTAACAAGTGAAATATTTTATCCTTGACTTGTCAATCCTCTTTGATTTGGACATCCCTCTACACTTGCTTTCTCCTCTTGAGACACTCAAGCATTCACCACTAACATCAATATTCAAATATTTCACATTTGAAAATTCTTAGGATCTCACAACTGTCTGCACTTCATCCAAACTATTGTTTGCTTCCTTGCCATAAAGAGGGTATCCTTATAATGCTTAAAGGATCTTGATAATAAGATCAACAAGAATAGAGTATTGTCTTTATCTTTAATAATCACCTTAATATTCTCAAGATTATCAATAATATATGAAATTATCCCGACTTCTTCATTCTAGATTTTTTTTACCATTCAGAATGAGTAGAATTGTTGTTTCTGGCACAACCTATGATTCAAAGACTTTGTCATATACAATGATTCAAATTTTATCCATATTGATGTTATAGTATTCTCCATGGCGATGTCCCTTAGTACTTTATCCCGAGGCACAAAATAATGTCACTTCTAGCCATATCCACCATCTCAATATTCTCTGCTTGTGTTAGGCGTGCTTGTATTGATGCCTCACCTATAAATGCTTCAATATATTTCTCTTTAGTCAAAATTTCTTGCATCTTTAATTTCTACCACTCAAAATCATTGTCTTTGGAAAATCTCTTGATCTTCCATTAAGAACTCATGGTGCTCACTTGTAAACAAAATATTTATGTCCCACAGTGGCCGCCAATTATGAAATTGAAAGATTCAATCACACTAAGAAATTTGATGTGTGATAGGACAAAGAACAATGGCAAGCAAAATAAACGGTCTTTAGCAAAAATAACTCTTTATGCAATAAGACAACAACTTAACTTGGTAGAAGAAGATGATATATAGACAAGAAACACAATAACCTGTTTACCCAATTTGATCAAATGATCTACTATGAAAGAGAGAGTAGCTCTCGGATTCACTATACTTCTGAAAAATTATTACAAAATATTAAAAATGAATTACAAAAAAAAAGTCACCCAAGTTCCCAAGAACAAACCCTATTTTCTACCCAAGTTTTTCAAAATCTCTCGAACTCTCTATATATATGAACCACACAAGCTCAATATGCTTAGAAGTGTTTCTCAATCCCCTTAGATACTCCAAAGGTTTTCCTAAACTCTTGCATCTCTAAGTTTTCTCTTACTAGGATTGTCACCTCTTCCCTCCGCCTTCAGTTGTAAATTTCTAAAAGTTGTGATAACAAAAATGCAAGAGATACATATTTATAGCAGATGACACCCAACAGATTCATAACAAGCCTAAAACACAATTCATTAACAAACAGATCCACGATCTAAAAAGAAGAAGTCTAAAACACGTGAACCGAGAAAATTAGACAAAATGAATGAAAAACACGAGAGGACTGGCCCGAACCGCCACATGGTCGTGTTGCCTGTAAGTACGAAGTGCGCCTAAGAGGGAGATGAATTAGGTACTTTAAAAAATACTTGTTTTAGTGATGATGGATATTATTTTTCTGGATTATGGTGAGTTTATGAAAGAGTAAAGTGCAGAAAAATAAAGAGACACAAGCGATATATCCTGGTTCCCCTTACAGTCCGAGAGTACTCCAGTCCCCTTTCAACATGAAAGAGATTTTTGTGGAAAACTTAAACATGAACTACCAAAAACCAAGAACAATCCTCTTGGACAAAGAAAAATCCTCTTGGATTTTCACTATGTCAACAATGAGAACAATCCTCTCAAAGTGACTTCACTTGTATCCAACAATCCTGGAAAGACAAGATTTATGAAACCACTTAAACTTATTTCCAACAATCCTGAAAAATAAGTAAGTATTTAGCAATATTTGATTTGAGTGAGTTTGTAGTGTAATAATCACTATGAGTGACTTTATCAATGAATTGATCTTCTCTTCCAATGACAATAGTATATAATGACTCAAGATATATAATGCTCAAAGTTTTCTGTTTGACAATATGTGAAAGTGTGCAGAAAAACTTTTGTATGAAAATGTATAGCAGCTTGAGTTTGATTTTTGATAATTCGGAAAATATAATTGGAAGAGGTGTTAAAAATGATTTTGAAAATGAGTATTTATATGTTCATAGCACCTTTTTAAAACAATATAAAGTTCTGTAAATGAATCATGAACAATTGCCAAGATTGAGTGAAAGGTTTCCATGAAATGGTGTTATGAACAAACATGTGCAAAGCTGTTGTTTTTCAAAATCGTACAGCATGCAATCGATTGCACCCTTTGTGTAAATCGATTGCATGGGATTTCAACAGCTAGAAATTCAAAAGTTTTGAGTGTGCAATCGATTGCATGTGAAGTCAGTAGCAAAAATTTATTGAGTGCAATCGATTGCACAAACATGCAAATCGATTGCATTGAGAAACAGTAGCAAAAGATTTGGAAAAAAATTGAAGCATGCAATCGATTGCACTTATGTGAAAATTGATTGCACTCAAGTGAAAAATGATTTTTAACTTAGAAAAACTTGAGTAAAGGTTTGGACAATATAAAATATTTATTTTCACCATTGAGCATCTATGTCTTAAGTTCAAAGTAAGTATTACCATTATACCTTGAAATTTGCTAAGTGCTTGAACTGAAGACTTTATCCATAGATGCTTTTAGCTTGATCAATAATTTTTGCCTTCTTTGTCCCTCATGGTTTGTCTTCATCAAAATAAAAGTGCATTTGAGAAGCTTGATTTTACATTGCCAACATTTGATCGCAGGTTGCGGTTGTCGGCCACCTTAGCCGAATCACCTACCTCTAGTTGAGACGTCTTTTATCAACCTCTTGACTGCTTTTATGACTTTTTTTCTGCAATCTCGAAATATATTTTCTCCCTTTTCATCGCTTAAAATTTTAAAGTATAGTTTAACACTTCATATTCCATATGCTTCACCAAGTGTCTTATATTGAGACATCGAGTCTACTATACACGTAGTTATTAATGCTACCTTTCATGAAAGAAACAGACATATCAAGATTAATTGCTTTGTTCTTAGGGAGATATTAATGGTTTCAATTTTACACGTAGTTATTAATGCTACCTTTCATGAAAGAAACAGACATATCAAGATTAATTGCTTTGTTCTTAGGGAGATATTAATGGTTTCAATTTTAATTATACCCTGTTTGAATCTGTCAAATAAAGCAGAGCTAGTGTTGAAGATAGTTGAAATTGCCATGACAAGTACACATAGTCTCAGGGAGTAATTGACTGCAATGCAAGACTCAGCAAAAGAAATATTTTATTTCATGCTAAACAAATACAACACAATAATAATAAAATTAGCCATCCAACACATTTTATAAATTTGTTATATTCTTAGATTGAGCTAAATTAGTATATGCTTATGGTTACTTCATATTCTATATAATATACAAAACAATATCAATGATATGTAAAATCTTAACCGTTAAATTGAGATCAAATTCAAATCTAACGGTTGATATTTTTTTACGCTGATATACTAATTGCAGAGGATTCAAAATAACGAGTAATGTTCGAATTTAAAATTATAAATTCTTTGACACAAAAGACTGAAAGAACGAGTTTTCCTTAGCCGAGTATCGTTCATAATCAGCATTTGAATCGGTTGGTTTGTCCAAAAGGCTTGTAGAATTTAGCATCATATCTAGCTGAAAAGGTTGTACTTGAGTTTCAGAATTAGGTAGCTTTGAATCATGAAGTGAATTTGTGAAATTTGATACGATAGAATAGTTAGTCACTGGTGAAGGCCTTATAGGGGTTACATTACATGTGGTGTTGTTGTTAAGAGATGTTTTGCTCATGTTATAGCTTGAACTTCCTCTTCCTAGAGGTATTTCATGGTTATGTTTCCCTTCATATGTTGTGATTACAGCTTTCATATCATGTGCTGCTCTCTCAACATGTTTTCTCACAGGACAACCTTGGATTACACATTTGTAGTAGCTCCTGCGTAAACAATATTTTTGAGGTTAGTGTTGAGAGGTCAATGTTGAACACGGATACAGACACACTTTCAGTTTGATGTTATAACATTAATAATTTTACATTTATTATTAAAGAGTGACACGTGTAAAACATCAGACACAATTTTAATTTACGTTAGCACATTAGTATTTTCGAGGTAATTGTTGACATCAGACACGCTTTCAGTTTAATGTTCTAATACTAGTTACACTTTTAAACATCATTTAAGTAATACCTTGGATTTGGATTTCCTTTAACAACTTTTTGTCCATATTTTCTCCATCTATATCCATCATCAAGAATATCAATTTCACTTGTAGTTTGAACCACAACTCTAGCTTCCCGAACTGTTCTACTCTCTTCTGTGGAATAACGATAGCTATCATTTTCATTCTCTCCCTTCCTATAATAATAAAAATTATAAATTAGTATTACTGAAATTTAAACCGTCTGATCTTGATTCAACATCAGGTAAATAGAGTAATAAAGTGTATAGTTTCCTAATCTTACCATCTCTTGGCCTCGATTCCCAACTCATCATAATCTCTTCCGGAAAAACTAGTTTGTGATGTTTGCTCAAATTCATACTCCCCCAAAGAAGGATCTGAAATCAACGAATTGTTGCTGGATGTAAAACCTTGATGAATAGATTGAGAACTTGTTTTTCTCTTTGTACACTGAGGCTTAGGATGGTTATGACTTCCCTTATACACAATTTCAATAATATGTCCCTCCAAAGACCTTTCAACTTTCTTCCTCATCAAGCAAACTGAATTAGTACACTTGTAATAACTTCTTGGATTTTCACTTCCTTTCACTTGTTTTTCTCCATATTTTCTCCACTTGTATCCATCTTCTTCTGATCTTTTTTGTTCTTTCAAAGACATAGAAGCATTGGTTTCATTGAATGTTAATGTGTCATGTTTCTTTATTGGCTCCTCCTGTTGAAGTTGATCAAGCATTAGTTAATGACAAGATTAAAGAAAATTTAACTAAATAAAATAATAAGAGAAAAAAAGACTTACCACTTGATACATAGTTGTTGAAGATTGAAAAGGTTCTTGCATGTTCTGTTTTTGTGTTTGAAAAGATAACTCAGAGAAGTTTCTATCTTCTAATTCCTTGTTATGTTGTTGGTTGGTGATTTGGTCACAAGAAGGCTCAGTTGTATAAGATGAAGGAATCTAAAAGAATCATACAATGAAACACTATTAGTTAAGACCCAAAACCAATCGGTCTCTCTTTAAAAGCGTGTAAGGTGAACTATCACACATAACTCAAAATTTATTATGATTAAATAGTGGTTAAATAAGGCTTATAAAATACTTGTGACAGTTAAATAGTAATTAAATAAGATCTTTAATTATTTTGTCATTGTTGAAATGTAGTTAACTTACACAGGATCTCTAAAATTTTGAGACGCCTTAAAATTAACACTAAAGTTTCAAAAAGTCAACAAGCACGATAAGCGATATCAAAATTAGATGTCTAGACGACTATAATACAATTTCAACGAAACCACAATTTAAGCCACATGCATAACTTATGCATGCGAACATCATTTTTCATAATATGAGACTATTACCATGGTTTTAAATTGCGATTGCAATATAAATTTTTTCAATGGCTCTGCAACAACATAACAACAATTTCGACTATATCACACATATTTTGTCACAACATAAATTTCTTTTTGTAAAAACTGTTTATTTTTTGTATGCAACAACAAAGATTAATCTATCGAATTAAGGAAAGTCAGGACACATCTAATATTAATTATAAGAGAGAAACATACTAACGTACATTATTGGAAGGTGAAAGAAAAGAAGGTGAACTCAATAACTCTGAAGGTCTAAAGCCAGGTGGAAAATCAGAATAACAAGTGTTATAAATTACTTCATCAAGTTCAAAACTATCATCATCATGAGTTTTGAGTTGAGGAGAACTTCCAACAAGTTTAGCAATATCAAAGGTTGTACTAAGGTTATTGTTAGTGTTGAAAAGGTTGTTGTTGTTGAAACTAAAAGACATAGTTGAGAAAATAGAGGTTGTTGTATGAAAAAGGTTTGGAGTGTGTATGATTATAAAGTTGAAAGTGTTAGATTTATATGATTGATATGTTGTGCTGAGCAAAGTGTTTGGAAGCTACTAATGAGAAGTTGAAGTTTGACCGTTGAAAAAGCAATGGGTCAAGTGTTGTGGGTTTGACTTGACTAGGCTTCCATGCCTATCATTGCATTATTTTACATCTGTCTCATGCGGTGGCACTACTCTACTACTTATTTTTATATTTTATTCTCACTATTTTCCCTAACGTCCATTACGGGTTCTGTCTGTACGTTTTTTCGTATAGCATGTGTGAAAATTTATGTTTAATTTTCTTCAACCTAATATGTATTTTTTGTCCAATTTTTTACTATATATATAAAAGAAATATCTTTTTATAGAAATAAAGAAGTTAAATAAATGTGGTAACTATAAAAAAAACATTTTGAAGACAAAATTGAATGAAATAAATATACTTTTGATTGATAAAGAAAACCATATAAACATATTGTGATTGTAAAAATGTTTATACTTATATTTTAATAGTAAGTAATATAAACATTGATAAATTTATTTAAGATCAATACCATAAATTTATTTATTTTATCAATTACGTTCTGACGGTCACTTTTGTGGTCCATCCACTCTTTTTATTGTATTAACATGTATAAATTATAAATAATGATGTATTAAATAATTGTAATGATTCATAATGATGAAACCTAAGAATATTTCAGTGTGTTTGTTTTAAAGATTCGAAAGAAATTTTTAAGAATAAATTATCTGAGAATAAAATAAGGAAGTTTTATTTCACGGTATTTTTAAGAAAATATATTTGATATATTATTTAATATTTCTAGAAAAATTAATAATTATATTTTTTAATTAAAAAATTATATGAAATTTATAAAAATAAATATTCTCATCTTCTTACATAAAAATAGAATCATTAAAATTATAGAAATTATTAAAAATTATTTTATTCCTTAAAATCTTTATATTTAAAAATAAATTTTCTTCAAATTCTTAACAAATATGAGTATAACTATTTTTTTTTAAATTATTCTCTTCTTTTTTTTCTTTCTCTTTTTCCATCTTCATTTTCTCTATCTCTTAATTTTATTATCATTCATAATTAAAAAATATATAATCAAGAGAAAATGAAATTAAGAGATAGAAAAGATGGAGAAGTAAGGAGAAAGAACCGTAAGAGATGCAAAGTGTATTTTATCATAATATATTTTTATTAAACATCAATTTATATTAATTTAGAGTGACAATGCCAATGCATATGGGTGACTTGTAGGGACTTATAAATTTTTTGCAATTATTTTTATGCAGCGGTTTCCATTAAATATTAGCCATCAATTAATGTGTGTGATACATGTTTGATTTCTATTATTTTTTCAGTTAACACTTAATGAATACTCTCTCCTTTTTTTTTATAAGAAAATTTTAAATTTTTAAATTAATTTAATAATTGATGTATCTAATTTATATATAGTATAAATATATTATTTATTCAATGAATCTAAAAAGTCAAAATTTTCTTATAAAAGAGAATGGAGGGAGTAGTTTACAGTATAAATATCTAATACATATATAGATGAATAATATTATTAGAAATAATTTATATTTTAGGAATGTCTTGTTGATTAAGTTTGTTAGAGGGTATTTTAATATTTTATTATACTTTAATATTGTGCATAAATAGTCTAATAGTAGATAGGTCAATGTAATTCATTAATCCTTATTTTATAGTTGTCATTTAATATTTGTCGTTTATCTCTCCTTTGTGTACTAACAATTGGTATCTAGAGCTCCGGTTTGAAATCCACGGGAAATATGGGAAACACAAGTGAACATTGAGGTGTTGTGTGATTGAGAATCACATTTTTTTCTGATTGTATGAGATTTGGGAAACACTGTGTGTTAGTGAGTTTTTGAGTGAACTGCACAAGGTTGAAGATGAACGGAAACATCGATATTAATTCCAAGCTTCCAGTGTTTGATGGAAAAAACTTGAATCGTTGGAAGATCCAAATGTGTGTGTTGTTCGATTCTCAAGATGTGTTAGATCTTGTCACCGATGGCTATGCTTCATTAGCAGTTGACGCGACGGAGGCACAGAAGACAACGCAGAAGGCGATAAAGAAGAAAGATCATAAAGCATTGTTCAACATCCATCAGTGTGTGGATGCGAATGTGTTTGAGAAGATTGTTGACTCTAAAACAACAAAGGTTGTGTGGGACACACTGGTCAGATGTTATGGTGGTGATGCATCAGTGAAGAAGGTGAAGCTTCAACTCCTAAGAAAGCAATATGAGAATCTCAACATGAAGGATAACGAGAAGGTTTCTGAGCACACCTCTAGAGTGATTCTGATCACTAATGAGATGAAAGCTTGTGGAGAAACTCTTTCTTTACAAGTAATCGTAGAGAAGGTATTGAGATCTTTAACTTCTCAGTTTGATTACATTGTGGTAGCAATTGAACATTCCAAAAATCTAGATATCATGAGAGTTGAAGAGCTGCGAAGTAGTCTAGAGGCGCATGAGTTGCGTATGACTGAAAGAACTTTTGAGAGAGAAGTAGAGCAGCAGGCTCTGAAAGCAACTTCTGGTAAGAAGTATTAGAAGCATACTTGATCAGAAGCCAGAAAGAAAACTAATGGTGGTCATAGGTCCAAAGCTTCAATCTCTGATAGGCAGGGGAATTTCTAGAAGGGAAAGGAGAAGTCTAACAAGAAGAATGTTCAGTGTTACGGTTGCAAGAACTTTGATCACTATGCCAAAGATTACTGGTCAAACAAAGAAAGGAAGTCGGAAGAAGAAAATATAGCCAGAGGAGAGTCTGATGATGAATCTGTGCTATTGTTGGCTTCTGAATCTGATGATATGAATTCATCAGAATTGTGGTATATGAACACAGGGTGTTCAAACCATCTTACTAGAAACAAGAAATAGTTGGTTGATTTTGACTCTTGAAAGAGTACAAAGATCAAATATGTTGGTGATAAATACCTCAATGCATAAGATATAGGAAATGTCAGAGGCATTTTAAACAATGGCAAAGCAGCAGTGATCCAGAATGTGAGGTATGTACCTAGCATGAAAAGCAATCTGATGAGTGTGGAATGTAACGCCCGTAATTTAATTAATTCTTTAATTAAATTATTTTTGGAATACTTGTGAAGTTGTGTTGCGTTTAATTGGATTTAAGTATTTTATTAAGTGGAGAAATAATATTAGAAGTATAATATTATTGATGTGGGCTTGTTTTAAAGGAATAAAAGTAATAAGGGGGTGTATTAGTTTTAAGCCCAATAAGGAATAAAGAATAATATGTTATTTTATTGTTGTTAGAAAGAATAGAAAGAAGAGGCAGTAGAAGAATAGGATTGAGAAGAAGAACGTGAAGTTGCTGAAAAAAGAGGAAAGACGGCAGAACGAGGTTTCGACTGGAAGATTATAGAGCGGCCTTCAATCCAAGGTAAGGGTGGGGTTCTGACTCTATAATTGGGTTCATGATAATTGGTATGTGGGGTTAGAGGTGATTGTTGTCTTGTTCATGAATTGAATGTATGTGATGTTGTATGATGAAAATTGATGAATTATAGATGACTAATAATGTACCGATGCAGTTTAATTGATGTAGAATTATAAGGTGATTGTAAGTGATGATTATCTATGATTGGATTAAGTTTTTAGGGCTTAAATTATGGAACCCGTAGTGAAAACGTGGAGGAAATCGCAGAAATTATGCAGGATGGAGCAGTATGCGTCGACCTCAAAAATGATGTGTCGATACAAGAAGGTTGTGAGACTCAGGATGAGTCGACACAAAGAGGTTTTGCGTCGATACATGAGAACTTTTAGACTCAAGATGACTCGATACATAGGATGCATGTGTCGACACATGTTGTGTGTTAGACTCAGGATGATTCGATCCAAGAGAGGATGCGTCGACTCATGTTGCGAGTTTAGTACAATACGCGTCTGTTGTACCCCAAAATTTTCCCTCTCATTTATCAAGACTTTTCTTATAAGATTTCTTTGACTCAAGACTGGATTAGGGTTTGACCAGCTCAAGACATCTCATCATGCACTAATCACCCAAAATTAGGGTTTGAGATTGCACAAAGATTTTGGACTATCAATGCTTCATATGACTTTCAAACATCATTATGGACCCCTAAGATTACTCATGACAAGTTTCAAGCCTTGAATCATATTTTTTATCAATCAATTGGACAGTTGACCTAAAAATCAACTGTATTGGGGGAAAAGTCAACCATGGCCAATTTACAGTCAAACTTCATAATTTTTTATCCACATCAACATTTTAGACTCATATGTATCATTTGAACGAGTTTGGACCATAATTCCTCAAGAAATTTGATCAAATCATCAAAAGGGCAAAATGGTCAAAATTAGGGTTTCGACTGAGAAAGGGCAATTTCTGATTTTTGACCTAGCAAATGACCAATTGATTTGAAGTGTGATTTCAATGGTTAAATTGTATCATCTTGAACTAATAACATGGTTCAAAACATTGCAATTTCATTGGATTGACAGATGAAATTTGCAGTCAACTGATCAAAAGTCAACTGTATACTAAAAAGTCAAACTTTGACTTTTTGGTCAAAATCAAGTGCCAAGGATCACAATTCATCAAAACATGTCAAAATGTGAAACTTGTTCATCAAGAAATCAAAGATTGAAGATTTGGTTTTGAAATTTGAAATTTTCTTAACTTAGAAATTTTTCTAAGTATAGAAAATTTCTTATTTTTTCTCAACTTTAAGCCAATTATTCACCATGATACAAGATGATTCAAATAAAGTTCCCAACATAAAAGTTGTAGACCTCCATGAAATCTACAACTTTGTTTCACACATTTTTCCATAAAGATGCTTGGATCTCAAGATATAATTTTGTGAATATATGCCCATAAACTAAAATAACTTAGTGAAATTTTGCCC